ATAAGTCAACATGTTTCAAAACCAGAAAAATTGATTCCTTCTGCAGATTGCTTCATTCAACTCAATCTCCTCTGATGAAAAACTCATACAAGTGCTAGTAAAAGTCACTGTGCCCACAGTTTTTCAGTGCTCAGAGGTCAAAAAATGAGTACTTCAAAATGCACAACCTTAATTACCACCATTCATATTTTAGACAAACATTTCCTAAAATACCTGACCAGGCTGCTTCCAATACTTGTACAAACAAATGTCCTGTTCCTTGTTGTATAACAAAGGCCAGAAAGCTCCCAAATGAGTTCATGAAAACACACTAGTTACTCAGATCATGCAGATTCAAAACACATGTGTTCATACTGCACTTGACTAATTGATTTCAGGTGCTTTACTATGGCAAGGTAAGCAGCAAAGCTGTAGCTGGAAAAGGTGTGTATCTGTGGGGCATGGCACCTACCAAGCCCGCAGCCCAGTGGGGACTCAGAGCTGACAGAAGGCAGAGCTGCCTTACAGCAGGCAAGGAGCTACTTCAGCAAAGCTCACCACACAACTCAGAGAAATCTGGTGTTTCTGCCTTGTATTTGGATCATAATTTCCTGCCACTACTGCTCTGCCCTATTTTGGCCAAGTGGTACTGCTGTCAAATTATTGGCTCAGATGAAATAATAATATCCCATACAGAAACAACCACCACTTGTGATATTTATGCTGGAGTATCTGATGTATTGTGTAGATGCCTTGAAAGCAAGAATCGAACAAGAACCTTTAGCAGTATCAACTGACAGGGAATTTAATAAATTGCTGAAAAAACACAGGAAAAAAAAAAAAAAAAAAAAAAAAAAAAAAAAAAAAAAAAAAAAAAAAAAAAAAAAAAAAAAAAAAAAAACAACAAAAAAACAAAAACTCAATCCAACTACTTATAGAGGAACTGTACTCAATCATCTCTCTTTGATGCAGTGCAGTTGGTAGGTTCATAAAAGCAGTTAACACACATGAGATGACAGCATGCTTCAAACAATGGTGGTCAAAGAAAGAGGTGGGGAAAAAACACAGGAGATCTTAATCAAGTTACAGTTGTTTAGGAAAAAGAAAATGGTAAGCATGGTAGTTGCTGTATGTTTCTGCTTTGCCTTTTAAGAAAGTTAAAAGAAAAGAATAAAGGCAAAATGAAGCATTCCTTGGTGCTGGTGCATTTACCTACCAAAATTATAGCAGTCTTCACTTTCAAAAATGTATTTCCAGAAACAATATTTAACACAGTGCAGAGATATTGTCCTATAAAAGTTAAACCAAACCATGTGAAAAAGTATTTAGAGGGAAAAGCTCAAGTTCAAAGCATTACCTGTCAGGCAGTGACAGAGGATGATTCAATGTGATGTTGTTTCCCCCTTGCTTAGCCATAACATTCACTCAAAATTAACTTTCATCATAAGACTACATAACAAGCATATATTTCTGATGCAAGACACTATTACAAACAAACCCTCCACCTTTTCTTTTTTCAGGTGGACTTTTAGTGTGTGCCATGCATGCTTTGGTGAGACTCTAGAATCAAAATAAGCAGCCCACTATTTTATTCTACTGTATGAATCCAAAATCCAGAATATCTTCATATGGATTTGTCAGTATTTGTTATTCATCTTTATATAATAACACAAGTTCTAAAAGGTAAGCTGCTTATGGATGTCTTCTCAGACTTGATTTGAATGTAGCTTTCACTAAGTAGTTATCAATTTAGCCCACACCTCATACATGACACTTGCTGTGCAGGCAATGTCATAGAACTAAATACCACTTTGAAATTTCCTCAACTCTGCAGTCACACAAGATTTCCAAGAGAATATTGTAGTATGGCTACCAAAAGCAATACATCCAACCGTTTTTCCACCATATTAAATTAGAAGAATCTTACACAATGATCTGTACAGACAACTGCTACAATAATAACCTAAAAATGCACCTGTCTCCCTGCACCTTGAGCTTATCTCTGCACAATATTGTAACATGCTTTCTAGCCTTGAGACAAGACACTAGGGCTCATCATATTCTGATATGTGACCCAAGACAGGAACATCCCATGGCAAGGAACAGGTTTAGATAATGATTGTGATACAGCCCTCACCAGAATAATATACACCTGACAAACATGCAGGATCCACAAAGATACCTGCAGGAATTGCAGAAGAGTGGTCTATAAGCCTTGATCTACATGTATTATAGGTACCTATTTTTCCTCAAATTAACAGTGGTTTCCATTCTATGGCAACATAGAGATCTTCTGCTATTAAGATTTAAATGCACCACCAATGACAAGGCTATAAATCACTTTCACTAAGGTTTCATTATAGCTGCCTTGATGCCACCCTAGCATAGACAGGCATGGCAAAAACTAACCGTGAAACTGACTACTGGTGCCAGCTTTTGCAGCACAAACACCAAAAAAGACACAGAGTTACTGCTGTGTCCTAAGCCCGGTTTTCTTTAGTACCACAGCAAAAAGCATTTAAATACTGGGTCAAAGACAACATAAAGCCATCTGTCAATGAATATTTATCCATCTTGGGAGCTCTTGCCCAAAAATTATTTCTGCAAGACATTTTTGTTTGTGTCCTGAACTCTCAAACTAAGTAAGTAAGCAAGTTCTGTGAGGACATTCTCTTGACCCCATAGGCCTACACTGAGAAGCCTAAAAGAGGACTAAGTCTAAGTTCTAATAACTTATTTTACTACTGGCACTAGTTACAATGACATTTTAGGTGAATGCAGCTCAACAGGCACTACCAGCTGAAAAATACCATCTCTTGGTCTGGTAGAATTCAAACAGAATACTTAGATAGCAAATGCTTATAAGCTAAACAAGGGACTGCTTCCAGAAGTACCCACTTCTGTGAGATAATTGTAAGCCACATAGGTCAGAAAGAACAAACTAATCAACGTGCAACTTCCGGGACATGAAAGGTGACGTGTGCTGTTACTAGAGCTGCACAGAGAAACAGCAAAGCACGTTGCCAAATCAGAGAGGTATGAAGTGAATCAAACCAATAACATATGAAAGAAAATAACAAATCTAGACACTTTTTTCTAAGCTAAAAAATTCTGACCCTTGTCATCAGAAAAGAAAACGCATTCTTAAATCGACAGTCTGCTGCCATAGTTTTTTTCAACCAAAAACAGCCTAAAGGTTTTACATCTGTGGCTAGTTTCACTTAGAGCACTTTGAGCTCTAGCAACACTGCACTAACACAAACAACTTTTTGTCAGCTGAGGTAGTAGTATTAAAGTGTTTCTTTCATATGTTTCTAGAGGCTTTTATTCCACTCTTTATCTTTTGCATTTATTTCAAACTGATGTTATAAAACTCTGAAAGCATTTACTAGGTGTCAGAGGTAACAGTTGTAACACACAGTTGTGACAAAGTGAAACATTTGAATTTCATCTGTAACTTCCTCAAAAGACAAAGCAGTAAGAAAGGCAAAGGTAACTGTTTTACCCAAAGGAAGGACCAGTGAAAGGAAGAAGTTTCTCCAGTGAGAATCAGAAGCTTCAAAGAAATCTAGGCATGGAAAAGACAAAAAGAGTAAACACTGAAAGACTGTTCTAGAAGATCAAGGGGAGGGAGGAGGATGAAAGGAGAAACATTTGTCTCTAGCTGACTGCATCACCTGGAAGTAATAGGCCTGGAAATAGATTAAGATACCAAACCCATGGTCACAAGAGGTAAGGCCATGTTACACCCCTGACCAGGATTACACTGCAGGACAAGAACAGACTACTGCAAGACACTGACAATGGAAAAGAAAACACATGGAATAGATCTTCCTTGCTCACTCAAGTATTTCAACCCAAAATCTAACACTAAAAATAAAACAACACCCATGGATGAGCTTTCCTGTTCCTTACTTTAATACATACCTGTATTAAACCCAGTTGGCAGAACAATGGTACATTAAGTGATTTCCTCACATAAGATACTGTCCATATCTCCAAAGCAGCACTTGTACTTAGCTGTTACAAGAGTGGCATGTGGCATTACCCTCCTGCTGGAGTCACACATTGAACAGACACAGCTGCTGTAACCAGCCTTGTCTTGTTCCTCTTTTCTTCCTCTTGTTCTCTTCCTTCCTGCAAAAACTGAAGGCTGAGCCCTGAACCCTAACTTGAGGAATAAAGGCAGAACAGATCTGCTCTCTTTCTTTACATTTAAGTCGAGGCCCTTGTCTTTACTATTTACTAAAAAACTACATCAATTACTACTTTTGCATTGAATGAAACAAGAGTTTCTAACAGAGAGATAATTGTTACTTTTTAACTAAGTTTTTAGAGTTCTTTTATTCACTTGAAGTCTCACTCCAGTATTAAAATATACTTCCTTTCTGTTTGTTTCCAATAAAAATAAAAATAAGTACGTACAAGCATAAATAGGTTATAACTTTGTATTCTATGTTGTGGGGCTTTGCTAGGTCTTTTGTCTCTAAGAACACACAGCTGTGTATAGCCAGCAGTATTGTGCCGTTCTGCACAGCAAACCGCGTCCTCTCTGAAATTCATGTTTCTTCGCACAGGCAAACATTCCTTATTAGAACACAACCACGACACACAGCTTTCAAACTTCTCTGCCACGCAGTGAACACAGGAAAGTGAAGAACTGGAGTACCGCGTCCGTGAGGAGCAGTCGGGTCAGCCACCTACGGCTCCAAAGCACGGCTCAGCGGAAAGGAAAGCAGCCACCAAGTCAGCATTTCTCTAAATCTACCTGTTGTTGACACGGCTGAGGTCCCGAGCTGCCAGCTCTCCCCGCGCACGGCCCGCACCCCGCTCCGCCACCCGCGGAGCCGCCGCAGCGGCGGCGCGGCCCCGGTCCCGTCCCGAGCCGCCGGGCGAGCCCCGGACCCGCGCCCGGCCGTGCCCGTGCCCTGCCCGCTCCCCCGCGGTCCGCAGGCGGCCCCGCCGCCCCGGCAGCGGCACGGCGGCACGGCCGCTCTCCCCTCCACCTCCGCCCCGCTCACCTTGGGGAAGGTGCCCTCCCGCCGGGGGCTCTTCGGGTGGTCGAAGTGGCCGCGGTCCAGCATCAGGTACAGGGAGAAGATCACCACGCAGAAGACCGCACTACCGAATACCGTGAACTGCCGGCTCAGCTTCATTTCCGCGGCTGCCGGGCCGGCGCCGCCGCGCTGCTCCCGCCGCGGCCGGCGCCTCGCCGCCCCAAAATCGGAGGCGAAAGTTCTGCCGCCGCGGCGGGGCTCGCAGGCGCTGCCGCCGCCGGAGCTGGGCGGCCCAAATCCTCCTCCGGAGAAGTGCGAGAAGTTGCCCCCCGCCCGCCTCGCCGGGGCCGAGAGCCGTGTCGAGACCCCGCCGGCGGGACTGAGAGGAGAGCCGAGTTTCCGGGAGCGGATCGAGTTCACGGGCAGGAAAGCGCCCAGCGGGGAAGTGGCGGCGAGCGGCACCGCCGGGCCGACCAAGCGGCGCCGCTCCTCGCTCCCTTCCTCCTCCTCCTCCTCCTCCTCCTGCGGCCGCCTCAGCAGCCGCTCCGCTCCCCCGCGACGCCGGAGTCTGGCACCTCCTTCCCCGGCCGGAGCGCTGCTGCCGCCGCCGGAGCTCCCGGGGCCGCGGCGCACAAGCTCCGCGCCGAGCGAGCCCCCGCCCGTCCGCCGCCGCCGGCCCCGCCGCCGCCGGAGCGCCGCGTCACGGCCGCGGCTCCGCCCCCCGGCCGCGCCGCCCCGGCGCTCCCCACCCGCGGCGAGCCGCGGCCGCCGCCCCTCCGCTCTCCGCGAGCAGGGGCAGCCCCGCGGCTCGGCTCGGCTCGGCTCGGCTCGGCTCGGCTCGGCTCGGCTCGGCTCGGCTCGGCTCGGCTCGGCTCGGCTCGGCCCGGCCCGGCTCGGCTCGGCCCGGCCCGGCTCGGCTCGGCCCGGCTCGGCTCGGCCCGGCCCGGCCCGGCTCGGCGCGGCTCGGCTCGGCCCGGCCCGGCCCGGCTCGGCCCGGCCCGGCCCGGCTCGGCGCGGCTCGGCTCGGCCCGGCCCGGCCCGGCTCGGCCCGGCCCGGCCCGGCTCGGCCCGGCCCGGCTCGGCTCGGCCCGGCTCGGCCCGGCCCGGCTCGGCTCGGCGGGAGCTGCCCCGCGGCCGCTCGGAGGCGCCGCGCACCGATGTCCCCGCTGCTGCCGCCGCCGCCCCGTCGGCGGTCGGTGTGTGGCAGCCTCCGCCGTGGAAGCGAGGGGGCTGGAGGAGGGAGGGAGGAAGGGAGGGATGCCTGGGGACTCCGCCGTTATGCCCGCGCCTCGCGGCGGCAGGGCGCTGCAGGAGAGGGAGTGCGGGGCGTGGGGAGACCTGCGGTGTCGAACGACTCCGGCATCCGCGTGGTTCGGCAGAGCCCTGTCCCCTCTTCTGTGGGATCCCTGTTGCCCCCCAGCGCAGTTAGGCATGCTTGTGAGCCGCGAAGCTCCAGATTGGGTAAGGGTTTTCTAGTATGAAGAAGTAGAATATGCCGCTCTGCTTTCATGCAAAGTAGCGCATGTTCCCAGCTGAAATGGCCGGTTAATGGAAGGCCATTCAGGTTGTGCCCTCTGTCTTGTAGCTTCTAGCTCCTAATTTTTACAGATTTAATCTGCTCGGTTTGAAAACGTTCATCCCTAGTGTCTGCATCTACATATTTCGAGGAACTACTTAAGATGGATTTGCTGCCATTGAGAATTAGGCACATCCTGGGAACTTGTTCTACCATTATGTGTGCTTCTTTATAAATGACTGCCATTGAGACATATGCCTATGCCTTAAAGTCAAGATCTATGTATAAGCATCACTATTTATTTTGCCAAGAATATCATCCCCTTTCCTACCCTGCCTGTTCCCAATAGTTAAAACTGTAATAGTACACAAAAAAAAATTGGCTAATATGTTTAAGAAGCTTGTATCATTGCTAAGTTTTACCATGTTTAGAGTTTTTTCTAATATCTTAGAGAACATACTTCAAAGTTTGGTTATTCATGTTTTTCCATTTCTCCCACTAGACAAAATGTTGAAGTGTTGGATTCCATCTTTGAAGAGCAGTAAGGACTGCTGCAGTCACTGGGTATGGATGTTGAGAGCTACTGTAGTTGCTGAGGGAAGCTCAGTCCATCCATTTCTTACTGTTGGCCAGGGCCAACAAGGGATTCTCAGAGCCTAGAGAGGGATGGCAGGTCAGTAAGAAAGTTCCTGAAAGGCAGAACAAAGGAATTCCAGCCTGTAAGTTAGCTTCTGGTGGCGGAGAGGGCAACTTAAACGTCTCTGTGTACACAAGTGTGTTGTGCTATTGGAATGCATTGCACTCTTCCTGGGGATGGATGAGGAGCCAACCAAAGACTTTTAGGTCAGGATTAAAGGGAGGGCAGGGGCAGGTGACACTACAAAGGGGTTCTGCAACAGGCTACCTGACCAGGAAGACCAAGGAGATGAGTCCCTCAGCGGACAGAGAGGAGGGACTCCTCATGTTCACAAGCCCTGGTCCTCACAGGGGGCTTCAGCCAACCCAACATCTGTTGGAGGAACAACACAGCAGAGCACAGGCAATCCAGGAGGTACCTGGAATGCCTTGGTGAATACTTCCTTCTCCAAGTCATAGAGGAGCCAGTGAGGAGAGATGTTATGCTGGACATTATTCTCACCAACAAGGAGAGGACTAGTGGGGAATGTGAAGCTCAAGGCCTGCAATGACCATGAAATGGTGGAGTCCGAGATGCTTCAGGCCATGAGGAGGGAGCACACCACGTCCACCACCATGAACTTCAGGATAACTGACTTTGCCTCTTCGGGGGTCTGCTTTATCTTTGGATAAAGCCCAGGAGAGGTGCATGGGGAAGCTGGTTAATAGTCAGGGACTATTAACCTCTTCCAAGCAATGCATCCTGACAGAAGGGAAGTCAGGCAAGCCCACAGGAGACCTGCATGGATGAACAAGGGGTTTCTGGAAACTCAGATAATAAAAGGAAGCCTATAGAGGGTGAAGTAAAAATGGGTATTCTGGGAGAAATACAGAGACCTAGTCTGAGTACCCAGGGGTTAGCTAGGGAAGATAAGGCACTGTTAGCATTAAACTTAACCAGGGACAAAAGGGCAAAAATAAAAGCTTCTATAGGTACATCAGTGGAAAATAAAGAATAGGAAAAATGTGGGGCCTCTCCAGAAGAATATAGGAGATTACCTGGGACATGGAGAAAGGTACTTCATGAGTTTTTTGCCTCAGTCTTTATTGGCAAGTGACTCCAGCCTCTCTGCCCTAGTCATAGAAGACAAAGGCAGGGATATGTAAAATGAAGAACCATCCAGAGAAGATCAGATTCAAGAACATCTAAGGAAACTGGATGTGCACAATTCCATGGGTTCTGATGAGATGCATCCCCAGGACCTGAGGGAGCTGGTGGAGAAAGAGGTTAAGCCACTGTATTTGAGAAGTCGTGATGGTCAGGTGGACTTCCCATGACTGGAAAATAGGAAATATTAATCTCATTTTTAAAAGGAGAAATAAGGAAGACTCAGGGAACTACAGGCCAGTGAGTGTCACCTCAGCATCCAACAAGATCACAGCACAGACCTATCTCAAAACTATGATAAGGTACATAGAAAATGAGGAGATGACTGACAGCCAACATGTCTTCACTAAGAGTAGCTCTGGGAAGAAGGACTTGGGATGTTGGTGGATGAGAAGCTTGTCATAACCCAGCAATGTGAACTTGCTGCCCAGAAAGTCAAACATGAAAGAGTAGTCAGTAGTTCTGAGGAGGTGATTCTTCCCCTGTGCTCAGCTGTCATGAGACCTCACCTGGAGCACTCAGTGCTAGGACAGCCAGGATAAGAACATGGACCTCATGGAGCTGCCAAGGGACGGCCACAAAGGGCTGGAGATCTCACCTGTTAAGTCAGGCTGAGAGAGCTGGGGCTGTTCTGCCTGGAGAAGGTTCCAGGGAGACCTTAGAGCACCTTCTAGTACCTAAAGTAGGGTGACAAGAGAGCTGGAGAGGGACTATTCACAAGGTCACATGAAGATAGGACAAAGGAGCATATCTTTAGGCTGACAGAGTGTACCACATAGTTGTCAGGTGGCTAAGAGAACAAATGTCATATCCACAGACCTTTTGAACACTTCCAGACAGGCAATTCCACCTCTTCCCTGGGCAGCCTATTTCAATGCCTGACTGCCCTTTCAGGGAAGTAATTATCCTTTATGTACAATCTAAACCTCTGGCACAATTGATGCTGCTTTTTCTTGTCCTGTCACTTGCCAGGGAGAAGACACTGGCTGCCATCTGGCCACAACCTCCTTACAGGGAGTTGTGAAGGGTAATAAGGTCCCTCCTGAGCCTCCTTTTTCACCAGGCTGAACAGCCCCCGATGCCTCAGCTGCTCCTTATCAGACTTGTGCTCCAGACCCTTCATCAGTTCCATTGCCCTTGTGCTGGATCCTTTCTGTCCTAGTTTGCTTTTTTCACCAATGCTAAGCATATGTATTCTTAGGAATCTGATTTGATACAAATGGAAGCAGGGAGAGACAATTTTTAGTTTCATTTTCTTAAGGAATCTAGCTTGTCTGAGCATACACTCCTTTTTTGTTTTCTGCTTCAGTAATTTTTCAAGTTCTGGATTCAATAACCTACATTTGACAAAGAAATAATATTAAAAGCACTTAATGTTGATGCTTCCTCAATGTCAGATCAATCATTTTTATTTAAATATAAATGAAAAATCAATGGTTTAAATGGTTTAGCAGTGCCTCATTGCCTACTATTAGTATCATGCTGCAATACTTGCCAGTCTTTGCATTTATTGAAGGTGTAAGGCTCCAGACTTCAAAAATCAATCCACTTTCTAAGCAGTCAGGTCATTCTTCTCTAAAGTATTAGGAAGTAGTGAAGGAAAAGAAGACATTGCTTGAATTTACTTGCTTGTTTTTTGTATATAACTTAATGTTAAATGCTCATGGCTTAAGAATTAGACTGCATTGACCTAATGTAGATTTTAAAACATTCTGATGTATATTGATCTTGAAACACTATACAATAGAGCATCAGGCAATTAGCAAAGTCTCTTGCATTTTCAGAACCGAAGTGCTGCAGCAATTTGATTTTTATAAGGTGCTTGTACATATATATATATAGATGTACCTATACATGTAT